GTCAAAACAATATTCTTAATACAAGTATGTTATTTGCCCTTTTCACTGTGCTGACATTTGCTCCAATGACGCAAAATCAATGGTGGACAAAACTGTTGGCACCTTAGTACACAGCAAAGCAGAGGCACCAAACTGTACTGGCAAATGATTTTACAAACCTTTGTGAGTTATTTTACAAACTTTGTAAATTATGTGACAGAAATGCCAGGTTTACTTAAGAGCATCTTTGATAAAGCAGTAAACAATTTTAATTTTGTGAAATCTTGACCCATGCTGTATGTCTTTTTAATATCCTGTGTGACAAAATGGGAAGTATGCATAAAGCACTTCTGATGTTCACTGAAGCCTGATGGTTGTCAAGGAAAAGCACTTGTGTAATTGTTTGAATTGCAAAGTGAGTCAGCCACTTTTTTCATGCAACCCCATTTTACTTGAAAGAAGGACTTGTATCCACCATGTAAGCCTGACACATTCCTAATACTTAAAGGCTTTTCTAATGAATCAGTGGTAATACTAATGAATGTTATCTTTTGACATTATGTATGAAACATGTCAACATTTGGAAGATCTGCATAGCTCAGTGAACTAATTAATATTTTCTAAATGACCAGTGCATAATGTTGCAAATCATGTGTGGGTAAAAAAAAAAAAAATCCACCTGTAGATAGGTAGACCTTTGGATTTTAATGTAACGGAGTATGAAAAGTTCGTTGATATGGTTTCACATTGCAGTTACCTTTAAGAAACTACCACAGTCCTGTGTTGGTGTAGCATTAAAGAAGAATATCTACAATGATCTGAAAAGGTCGTTAAAATGCCCCTCTCTTTTCCAACTACCTATCTGAATTTTCTCCCTATGTTTCAAACCAGAACAACATATCACAATAGACTGGAGGCAGAAGCAAATATGAGAACTCAATTGTCTTCCATTAAGCTACACTTTAAAGAAATATGCAAAACTATTAACAGTGCTATTCTTCTCTCTAAATTTTTTGTTATTTTTTTGAAAATTTGGGCTTTTTTCATAAATATTTATGTTAAACTGTCTTGGGTTTGTTACCTTTAATGAGTTAATAAATAGATTTTTAAGCTTTTTTTCAGTTTTCATTTCTAACAAGTTAAAAACAGCTTGTTGGGGTCCTCAATAATTTTTAAGAGTGTAAAAAAGGTCCTGAGACCAAAAAGTTTGAGAACAACTGCCCTATAATGTCTATTGTATATGGTAGGGACTCACTTGCTCAGTAAGTACATAAGGAATGTGTCTCAGCAGTGCTGTGAAAAGAAAGTACATACAGTGAGGCTGGGTCAGGTGGGAAGAGGGGGCCACTGAAGCTGCTCTTATCCTCTAGATGTTTCCTAACTGCCTTGTCATCAGAAGATACCTGTCCTGGCTACCTGCCAGCCTCATCACTGAGTCTCAAGTCCCTAGCAGACAGACTGCCTCATATAATAAACTATTTAAACGTAAGTTATCAAATTTAATCTTACCAATGTTAATGTTTATTGAGCACATACTAGATATGCTAGGCTTTGTGCTGCAAATGAGGATACACTGAGACATGGACCCTGGCCTCCAGGAGATTACAATCTAGTAAGAGAGATGGGTAGATAGAAAAATAATCCTAACAATGAGATAAGAAAGTAACAGGCGATATTTATACATTTTAAACAGGTCTTTAATGACTTAATACAAAACAGAGAGTCCAATAGGGTTTTTCACCAGTGGAGGAACAAATCAGGTTTAGGTCAGGGCCACCCCTTTGGGGTCCCTAAAACCACACCAACTGTAGGAATTCACTAATGCCTATCTTCTCTTATTTCAGGCCAATAAACTTCCGGCAGAACTAACCAAAAATGAACGTATATTGCGTCTCCTCCGAGGTAAAGAAGGGCGCAGGAAGAGCTAACTTAGTTGTATATTTGCCTGGAAGGTAGAAACCTTAACCACATTGTCCGAAAATGAAATTGCTTTTAAACAGTGTTGGAAATTCTGTTAAGAAGGAAAATGCTCCAAATGCCCACCCTGGGTCCCTGACCAAGAAGTGCTGTGCTTTGTGCCCTGAATCAAGGACAGGACAGCTCAGGGGGCTCTTCCCTCACGTACGGTGGGCTTCTCACACTGGCCTATAACCCCACTCCGGGGGGACCTAGCCGTTTCGTGGATTCCACAGAAACTCATTTTAAACTATACTAACTTGGGCCTCTCAGTTAAACTCTTATTGTTAAGTCTTCTAAGAGGTTTAAGCAAGGAGACAGAAAGACTGTAAGCTTTTAGACTGAAAGTCTGACCTTCAATGAATCGATGCACTTTTGCTTTTTTGTTAAATATAAGTGTGCTAAAAGATATAACTGCATCATATTTTATATAACGTATGTCATCCCAGTGTAAAATGTTTTCTTCTACCCAAGGATCATAGCCATGGTTCCTAAGACTCAACAATGTATAAAGTTACATTATTAAAAAGCCGGTCATTCCGCCTTGTACTTTTCAAAGATGGACTGTTGAACTATGCAAAAGACAAATTGTTTATTTGTGAGTTGATCCTCATCTAATTCCTAATATGTAAAAATCATTTTTACCTGGAGTCCATATTGTAGGTATGGTAGGATACAAATGACAAATTTGGAAATTCAGAAAATTACAAACCACAGGAAATTTAGGCTTGTTTCTTTGAGCTTTTATTTTGGTTATATTGTGGGCAATCTATTTCCCTTGCCATAACTAAGTAGACTTAACATGCTGTGGAATCTTGAACTTCCAACACTATGTAGCTTGATACAATGACTTTGAGGTCCTTGGATAAAATGTGATATATGCAAGTACAGTATGTTGCTTTACTATTGTAGGAGTATAGGTAATAAAAGACTATTATTAGTGTTTAATAAGTGTTCGTCTTGCATGTTCTTGAGCTGATTGATTCTAGAATTTTATTAAATTATTTCTTTGAAGGGAGTGTCAAATTTTATATTTGATGCACTTTATACTCAATGGTGTCTAAATGCCTCAGTCAGTGCCTAACTGCACACACAAAAACGAAACCTTTCCATAACCTACTGTAATAAACACTGTTGGTATTTCTGTTATTTAAACAGTTCTTTTGTTTTCTTGTTGATGTTTTGCTATGGTTTCCAGCCAGTGTTCTATGTAAAGACATGTTAAGATGGAGGGAAATGTTATAAATCCCAAAAGATTTTTTTAAACCAATTTTCAGTGTTACTAAAGCATTTTCTTTAAGTCAGTAAACAAAAGAACATAATTTTTAAAATTAGAAGGTATTCTCATAAAATTTATGATCAATAAAAATAGTCAAGCAACAAAACAGCTTATTTTGATTACTATCTGCAATCTAATTTCAGGATAAAAATTTAGAAAGCTCTGTCTCTATTGCTAAAATACCCACATATAAACACATATTAGTAGCTAAAAAGCATTTAACTACTAGCCAATTTCCTCATTGACTTTCTTTTATTCAGCAAAGTTGTACAAATATACATTTCATGGGAATTCCATATGGCTGTATTTATTTTGAAGAGGAAAATAATGTGGCCTTAAATGCTTTATATTTTTCACTGATAGTTAACCCTCAGGCCAAAAATGGTTGCTCATCACTGATATAAATCAAAACAGTAAGTATTATAGGTACTGAAAACAAAGCTCCAAAAGACAAAATGGGATGAAATCAGAAACAGTGTTTTTCACTAAAACATGTTGTCCTTGGCCTAGTTATCAGATCATTTTAGGTGGATAATGTTTTTGATCAATATTAGAGCCATTTAAAATGAATCCAGCAGCTTTAACAACCTTTAATGGAGGCCTTCTTACTGTAGGTAAGAGGTCTCCAGCTTAGAAGGCACACACTTGGTCTAGATGAGATTATTATATTATCCATAGCAGAGAATATGATTATATTAATCATTCACCAAAGACTGAATAAAAGGTCTGTTTTTTAAAGTTAAATTGCATTTATTTTCCACACAGTTAGATGGTTCTTATTTCATGTCAATCTAATTCACAATTCAATGAGCTCTGCACCCCAAGACTCAAAATTAGCAATTCCAATGCAAGTCATTTGCTTAATTGAACCACAAAGTTTTTTATTATATCCATTTGTTTGATGAAACAGTCCATGTTATAATTCAAAATAAAGTTAATGTACTACCCAATTTGCCTTTACTGCTTTTTCCTGTTTCCTTTTAGTCAGAAGTTATTTATATGTGATTGTAATAAAATGGAATTTTAGAGTTAATAATTCAGCTCAGCATGCTTTATGTTACTTATGGACCCATGATTTCATTATTTCTACTGTGGATAACTTGTAATAATGCCAAAAGGTTTTTCATTCAGACAAAAATTCCTGGGATAGTCACAAAAGATACTAAAAACAGAAACTCTTAATTGTACATTATGATGATTTGATATAGGTATGCCTCATTTCATTGCACTTCAGAGACATGCTGTGTTTTTACAATTGAAGGCAAGACCCTCCACCAAGCAGAAAGATTATTACTCACTTTATCGCAGTAGTCTGGAACCAAACCGGCAATATTTTCAAGGTATAGCTGTATGCCTTGTGAAAGGAGTCCCCCATCTAGTTAACACATAACACATTCATCACCTCAGATATTGATCGTGTGTGTGTGTGTGTGTGTGTGTGTGTGTGTGTGTGTGTACATCTTAATTTCTATTTTTATTGTCTGCGATGCTCCTTAGTCCTCAGTCCTTTGCAATGGCTTTTTCTTCTGAAATAACTGATGGTTTCGCACAACTTCTTATTTAGGAAACAAATATTTGCAGTGGTAACATCAGGAGCCTAGAGAACTCCATGGCCTTCCTGGCTTCCTCCCCTGCTCCATCCATCCTCTGCAACCACAAGAAAGCTATGTCTCATCATTACCGCACACTGGGGCACCTACTAAGAGGATAAGATCACTCCCAAATGCCAGGCTAGCTGGAATCCAATGGAGATGCCTCCGTTTCGAGGTGGGCCTGCACTGCAGATTATAGGGGTGAGAAGCTGAGGTCCTAATTTTGTAACAAAGTGGTTTTGATGCTAGAACTGGCTGAGCCTCACAGGTAGTGACCAGGTTGAGTCTGCAGATTATTAATAACAATAGAAACTAGGTAACATTTGTTGAAGGATTGTTATATGCTAAGCACTTTACATAGATAATCTCATAAAGTGTATATGTATTTTCTCATTTACCCCTGACAACAGCCCTATGAAACAGGCACTGTTAACATTCCTGTCTTGCAGCTGAGGAAACTGGCTTTGAGAGATCACCTCCCTCATCGTGTTGGCTTGGTGCTGTCTTCCAACTTTTGGGTTTTGCTTTTTTAGTGGGGGAGAGCCTGGGAGAGTGGTGCCAGGTGCAGTCACAGTGGTATCATGAAGGGAGTGAGAGTGGAGAGTACGGGCCATATTTTTCAAAATAGGTAGAGCTATTGATAATTAGTGATCCATTGAACATAGAAGGTGAGGAAAAGTAAAGGAGAGTTAGGAATTATACTAAGGTATGCCAGGGTACCCTAAGACTATCCCCAGTTTTGGTGATTTGCTAGGAGGACTCCCAGGGCTCATCACGGCTAAGATGACAGCAAAAGGGCATATAGTAAAATCAGGAAGTGGGAAGGGAAATGGAGTAAAGAAGACAGAGGCAATCCGGTACCAGCTTTCAAGGGTCCTCTCCCAGCGGATTCACACAGTGAGCTTAATTCCTCAAGTGATGGGTTGTGAGAACACTGCAAAGTGTTGTCTACTAGGGAAGCTCGGTAGAGACTCACCCAGGCTTTTAAATGGGAGCTGGCCACATAAGCACACTGCCTAGTATTTACTGAAATCCCAGACTTCCAGAAGGAAAACAGGCATTCAGCATAAACCACATGGTTTGTACAAACAATTAGGTACAGTGAGCCATCATCATTTAGGGAAAGCTTTGTATCAGTTTAGGGAACTGTTTGCCAGTGAAGTCCCCAGATGCCAGCCAATGGCCAACCTTGTACATAAGACTTTCTAAGGATAGCAGTCTCAGGCCTGCTTATGTTAAATCTTTTTCACACACAAGGTTTGTTACATGGTGGATGGTGCCAATAACTGTACTAGGAAATAGGAAAGAACAACAGAGTTTGGGGTGGTGGGGGAGAGAGATAGAGAGAGAGAGAGGAGAGGAGAGGAGAGGAGAGAAGAGGAGAGAGAGACAGAGAGAAAGAGAGAGAGAGAGAGTTTGGACATGTTCAGTTTGAAGAATGTGTGAAATTGATTTCTGAAGGCAGTTATAAATAGCAGCTTAATGTTTAGGACAGTGGTTCTCAACCTTCCTAATGCTGCAACCCCTTAATACAGTTCCTCATGTTGTGGTGACCCCCCAACCATAAAATTATTTTCGTTGCTACTCTATAACTGTAATTTTGCTACTGTTATGAATAGTAATGTAAATATCTTTTTGTTTTCCGATGGTCTTAGGCGACCCCTGTGAAAGGGCCATTCAATGCCCAAAGGAGTCGCGACTCACAGGTTGAGAACCGCTGGTTTAGGACAAGTCTGTTACTGATTTGGGACATGACCTATGTAGAAGTGATGATCAGAGTCATGGGATGAAAGAGGGAGTCTCTGGTAAGAGATAAAAACTGAGAAGGAACTTTGAAGCAAGAAGGAAAGTTAGCAAAAAAAAAAAAAAGATGAAGTGAAATGGACAGCAGTGGGATGTGAAACATGTATCAGGTAAGGAGAAATTCTCAAGGAGAGGAGAGTTAGCAACAAACCCCATGAAGAAGCATGGCCATATACTGTAAGGGCTGACAAATTCCAGACTTCTTTTTGCTCCACAACTTTGCTCTTGGTTAGCGAATTTTGGTGAATTCAATCACCAAATTCTAGTACTGTGTTGGAGAGCATATGAATGACTCATCCTGGTGACTGGTCAGGACTAAGGTCAAATTAAAATAAATAGTTGTCTTGAAATAATTCTAATGATCAGTAGAACTGTATCTGTGAAACCACTTCTAACACTTTCTAGGAAACGTTGGCACCACTCAGAATACATTGCTTCTGCTTTGTCTCCAAGAAAGAAAGTACTTTGTGCTCTGCCAGGGACCAAGAGACCCATCCGGAGCTGTAAAGGAGAGGCTGGGGCAAGGCACACTCTCTGGCTGCGTCCTTAGCAAGGCTGGTGCAGCACCTCAGCATACGGAGGAGGTTTCCAGCACCCGCAGGTGGGTTCGATACATTGGGTACTAAACATCTTTTTTTTTTTTATTGTTAGTTTCAGGTGTACAGAACAATGCAATAGTTATCCTTTTCATCCTTCACACAGAAACAACCTTCCTCCCCCATCTACTGCCCTCCCACCCCCGATATCATGCTTATCTATTACAATTCCATTGACTCATTCCCACTCTCTACTCCACGTCCCGTGACTATATGTATGTATAATTATAGTTGACATACATTATTATTCAACATCAGCTTCAGAAATACAGTGCAGTGGTCAGGCCTCTACACCGACTATGAAGTGGTCTCCCTAACAAGACATGAGTCCAGCTGGCCCCCTACAAAATATTTACAACATTATTGATTATAGTCCCCAAACTGTCTTTTCTATCCCTGAGGCCATATTGTAGTTACCAATTTGTATTGTCTCATCCCTTCCCCTTCTCCTTCATCCCCACCCCCTACCAACTAGCAACCCTCAGTTTTTCCTCTGTGTCTCTGAGACTATTTCTGTTTACATTTCTCATTTATTAAGTTTTTTAGAATCCACGTATAAGTGAGATTATATGGTGTTTGTCTTTCTCTGACTGACTTATTTCACTTAGCATAATGTTCTCTAGTTCCATCCATATTGTTGCAAATGGTACTATTTCCTTCTTCTTTATAGCTGAGTAAAACTCTATTGTGTAAATGTACCATAGTTTCTTAATCCAGTCATCTACCGATGGTCATTTTGGTTGTTTCCAAGTCTTGGCTATTGTGAATAGCGCCACAATGAACAAAGGGTTCATATATTTTTTCGGATTAATGTCTTGGGTTTTTGTGGATAAATACCTAAGAGTGGAATTGCTGGGTAATAAGGTAGTTGCATTTCCAGTTTTTTGAGATACCTACATACTGATTTCCATAGTGGCTACATCAGTCTGCAGTCCCACCAACAGTGCACCAGGGTTCCCTTTTCCCCACAACCTTATCAGCATTTGTTGTTTGTTGATTTATTGATGATAGCCATTCTGACCGGGTGAGGTGGTATCTCATTGTGGTTTTTATTTGCACTTCCCTAATGCTAAGTGAGGTTGAACATTTTTTCATATGCCTGTTGGCCATCTGTATGTCCTCTTTAGAGAAATGTCTCTTCATATCCCCTGCCCATTTTTTAATTGGGTTGTTTTTTTGGTGTTGAGTTGCATGAGCCTTTTATATATTTTGGATATTAACCCCTTATCAGATGTCTCATTGACAAATATCTTCTCCCATTCAGTAGGCTTCCTTTTTGTTTTTTTGATGATTTCTTTTGTTGTAAAAAAACTTTTAAGTTTGATGTAGTCCCATATGTTCATTTTTTCTTTTACTTCCCTAGCCCATGGGGATGTATCAGTAAAAATATTGCTCAGGGTAATGTCTGCAAATTTAGACCCTATATTTTCTTCTAGGAGTTTTATGGTCTTAGGTCTTATATTTAAGTCTTTAATCCATTTTGAATTTGTTCTTGTATATGGCATAAGGAGGTGGTCCAGTTTCATTTTTTTTGCATGTGCCAGTCCAATTTTCCCAACACCATTTATTAAATAGACTCTCTTTACCCCAATGTAAATTCTTGCTTCCCTTGTCATAGACTAACTGCCTGTATATGCCTGGATTTAATTCTGGGCTCTCTATTCTGTTCCATGGATCTATGTGCCTGTTTTTATGCCGGGTACTAAACATCTTGAGTCCGATGCATTTGTTGCTAACAATCTGCAGATGGTGCATGGAAAGTTCCCTGCCCAAGGCTATCTCCTCCCCTTTCCTGTCCCCGCATAAGCAAGACTATCTAAGTAAAGCACGGCTGCTAGACTGGGTCACTGTTCTCCCATCAGGAGACAGCTATCCACCTAGCTCCCGCTTTCAAGTATTTCTTTGTCTGTCTTTCTTAATCTTCTGTTGCCCCACTCCAGCCCGTTCGACTAGCCGCGC